TTTTTTAAGTTAGCAGATCTCTTTTACCTTTTGTTTAGAAGAAATGGGCGATTACAGAGCTGAAATTATCCAAACAGGGTTCCCACGGTCATGGAAATCCTGGAAAAGTCTTGGGATTTTGTAAATTCAATGAAAGTTTTGGAAAAGTCATGGAATTTTAATATCTATTTCACACAACTACATCATTCTGTTAAGTTCTCATGAGGCTGTTATGATGATTATAGATATAGATAGACAATATTATGATTATTTACATCTGCTCCTTTTGTTTAAGAGAGACGACAGTAAATGCACTGACAGGATTTTGAATGTTTTTTGGGGTTTTTATTGTATTTTGGGCAAGTAAAGATTCACATTCTTAAGAAATGGAATATATAACATAAGTGAAATCATAATAGAAATGAAAATAACCACAACAAACAAAACTAAAACAAAACAAACAAGACAGACACCCTGTTCCACGGGCTTGGGGTTCTCTCAGGGGCAGTCCTAGATTCCAAGTTCTAGTCCAAGATTAGTCCTGGTTTAGACCTGGCTCAGTCCTGGTTCAGCTCTGGTTTAGTCCTAGTTTAGTCCTTGTTTAGACCTGGTTTAGTCCTAGTTTAGTCCCTGTTTAGACCTAGTTTAGTCCTGGTTTAGTCCTGTTTAGTCCTGGTTCAGCTCTGGTTTAGACCTGGCTCAGTCCTGGTTCAGCTCTGGTTTAGACCTGACTCAGTCCTGGTTCAGCTCTGGTTTAGTCCTTGGTTTAGTCCTGGTTTAGACCTTGTTTAGTAATGGTTTAGTCCTGGTTCAGCTTTGGTTCAGTTCTGGTTTAGACCTGGTATAGACTTGGTTTAGTCCTCAGTTCAGTCCTGGTTTAGACCTGGTTCAGCTTTGGTTCAGTTCTGGTTTAGACCTGGTTTAGTCCTGGTTTAGTCCTGGTTTAGTCCTAGTTTAGTCCTTGTTTAGACTTAGTTTAGTCCTAGTTTAGTCTTTGTTTAGAATTAGTTTAGTCCTGGTTTAGTCCTCGGTTCAGTCCTGGTTCAGTCCTGGTTCAGTCCTCAGTTCAGTCCTCGGTTCAGTCCTGGTTTAGACCTGGTTTAGACCTGGTTCAGTTCTGGTTTAGTCCTGGTATAGACCTGGTTTAGTCCTCAGTTCAGTCCTGGTTCAGTCCTGGTTCAGACCTGGTTTAGACCTGGTTTAGACCTGGTTTAGTCCTGGTTCAGTCCTAGTTCAGCTGCGTGTGATTTCATTTTACACATTGCAAAGTATAATCTTCTTTTTCAGTAAAAAGTAAATTTGAAAAAAAAGAAAAAGTCATGGAAAAGTTTTGAAATGTTGTCAGTGAAAAAGAGTGGGAACCAAATAATGTCCAAATGATTCTAGTGAAGGTGTGTAGAGTTTAAAAACACAGTGGAGCACGTCCTGTATGACCACATGACATCACAAGGTGGAAAAGAGAGTTTTTTTTTTTTTTTTTTTCGTTTGACTCATCCTAAATCTGCAGAGTTTGTGCGTTAAACGTGAGAATGAACAAATCAAAACTCCAGCTCTGTTTTCGACGAGGAAACACGATAACTTAGATTTAAAAAATCGTGCCTTAAGGGCCTTTTCAATTTAAGTTCGTACAGAAAATAATTACGTAAGGTGTGTTTTGTGGGGGCGGAGTCATGACAGTGAATGGTGACATCACTAGAGGTATTTCCTGGAGGTAGGTTTCTTTTCCTGTTCCTTCTTTTCCACTGATTTCTGCTTTTTTTTCCCCTGTTTTTTTTTCTGTACTTGCTTTCTGACTGCAAAGACCGACTCCACCAGCAAGTGGAGAAAAGCAGCCTCCTCACCAAAGAGCTCTGCCTGGCCTTGAATCATGACTAAATTACAACAGAGCTTAGAGTTGTGCATGAATTTGGGCTTTAATATTGAAATAACCCGTGTGAGTGAAGACGGTGTGACTTGAGTTTCCAGTAAGGACCTGCTCCGTCGGTTTTCAGAACGTAAAGGAAGAGAAATGCTGCTTGACTCATTTTAGTTCCGTGAAAAATGCTTTGACCTCTTTCGCAACTGTTTATGCAGCACACTTAGTAACACTTTACAACTAAATTCAGATCTTACTCATGAATATAAGCTATAAATAAATAAAAATGCTGAGAGGTGGAGCCCGTCATTTTCAAAAAGAGAAGAGTTCAGTAGATGGACGTCTCATTAAAGATTAAATATTAAGCAAAATTGACTCTCATGAGATTTAAGTCGTGTTATAATGTTGTTACCTCCTCAAAAACAGACCTGGAGATTTAGTGCTTTGTTTCTTTCACACTTGTTTGAGTAACTCTTTATTATTAGTCTGTTTAGAATGAACCAGGTCTAAACCAGGATTAAACCAGGTCTAAACCAGGACTAAACCAGGACTAAAATAGGACTAAGCCAGGTCTAAACCAGGTCTAAACCAGGTCTAAACCAGGTCTAAACCAGGACTAAACCAGGACTAAAATAGGACTAAGCCAGGTCTAAACCAGGTCTAAACCAGGAATAAACCAGGTCTAAACCAGGACTAAACCAGGACTAAACCAGGACTAAAACAGGACTAAAACAGGATTAAACAGGACTAAAATAGGTCTCAACCAGGTCTAAACCAGGTCTAAACCAGGGTTAAAACCAGGTCTAAACCAGGGTTAAAACCAGGTCTAAACCAGGGTTAAAACCAGGTCTAAACCAGGGTTAAAACCAGGACTTAAACAGGTTTAAACCAGGAATAAAACCAGGACTAAAACTGGACTTAACCAGGACTAAATCAGGTCTAAAAGAGGTCTAAAACCAGGTCTAAAACAGGACTAAACCAGGTTTAAACCAGGACTAAACCAGGACTAAAACAGGACTAAAACAGGTCTAAACCAGGTTTAAAACCAGGGTTAAAACCAGGTCTAAACCAGGAATAAACCAGGTCTAAACCAGGACTAAACCAGAACTAAACCAGAACTAAACCAGAACTAAACCAGGACTAAACCAGGTCTAAACCAGGACTAAACCAGAACTAAACCAGGACTAAACCAGGCCACCGCTGCCTCCAGTCCTTGAAATATCCTTGGACATGAAACCGGTCTGTGGAGCTAAAAAGTTTGAGGACTGCTGCCTTAAATCAGAGAGAAGAGTGCAAAATAAAAACCTTTCAGTCATATTCACAATTAAATAGAACCATTTTGAGCCTGGATTTAAACACAGTCAAAGTAGAGTCTGTCTCACATCTTCAGGACGACTGTTCCAGGTTTTAGCTGCAGAAAACTGAAACACTGACTCCTCGTGTTTAGTCCTGTGTTGTGTTTTTTTGATGAGGAAACAACATTATAACATCGATCAGAATATTGTGTAACATGGGCCCGCTGCTGTAACACAAAACGCCCTAGAATTCATGGAAATACATTTTTACAGAAGTATTTAGTGTTTCTGAAAATAATTACAAGCCAATGACTCCCAAATTAAATATAATAGCTCGATCATACGGGACATTGCCAAGATGCCTTTGAGCAAGATGACATGTTACTGCTTGCAACTCCAGGTTTAATAATCCCCACAGCAGCAGCCTCCTCAGTGCATGCACGTGTGATTTTGTTTTACTGTGAGATAATGTGTTATGACGATAAAGAAAAACACACCTTCTTGTTTTTGGCTCTGGTTGTGGTTTGGTTTGAGTCCTTTTAAAATATTTAATTAAAGTGTAACTGGGAATGTCAGGATTGTTGAGGTTAAGCAATGATCAGAAGTGATAATTCAGGTCACAGTATCATCGGAAAAACTAAAATATGGAGGATAATTTGTTTCATCAGATATTATTACTCTGAAAAAACATGTTTGAATTTGTTTTATTCTGAATTTCATTTGATGGATTTTTAACTATACATTTTCAATGTGTTTAAAATTTCAAAATAAAATATTCAGTACAAATATGTTTAGCCCCTTGAATTCAACAGTCTAAATTCAGAGTGTAAAATTCGCAGTGAAAAGATCCAAAATACTGAGACATAACCAGTCCTGTTTGTGACTGAGGAGGACAGAGTCAAATTTTTCACAGCAAATTTCACACCCTGAATTTTGATTGTTGAGTTTGATGATTTGAAAATATGTATGTGCTTAATATAGATTTTATTTAATTTGAATTTTCAAACACATTGAACTAACAGAAATTCTGAAAAAAATAAAAAACTATATATATATGTTTTTTCAGAGTTCTAAGATTCTAAAATTCGAATTGAAAAAATAAAAAAAGGTAAATTAACAAATGCTGAACCACAAATCTAAAATATTATTGGCCTATAGAATGCTGTGATTTCATCTGAAACTCAGCAACAGGCTCTATTCACGCTTATGTCACAAACCAGGAAGACGTTTGGAAACATGCGATGACAACTTCCGGCGGGCTGTTCGCGATAGTAAATGAGAAAATGTCCCAGTTTTCTTCATCTCCATGTCACTGTAGCGTTCTGTGTTATGTTCGGCTTATCAACAATTACAACAATACTTTTTTCATCATTTCCACACTGATGAAATGAATGATGACGCACAACTCCGAGCTCACTGGGTACATGTGATTAGAATAGACAAGGACGTCAAATTCCAGATGAATCCAAACAGCACATACGTCTGCAGTCTTCATTTTACCGCTGATCACATTTACTTCAGTGGGTTTGATCACAGTCGGTCGGTGAGCCCAGTGTCGGGAATTACACTGGAAATTGTCATCCTGTGTTTCTAAACGTCTTCCTTGTTTGTGACGTAAGCGTGAATAGAACCTAAATCTGACGGGACAGATTATCACATATGTGACAATTTTAGAAGCAAAGTTCAGTCATTTCAATTCAGTCTCTGCTCCAAAAGCGTAAACCTAAATGTATCACGCTTTTACATATTGTGACACCCCTGAGTGCGACTAACAAATTAAGACTAGGGCTAACTACCTTTTTTATGTAAACACTCTGTACTCACTGCTTTTTGTGTTATTAAACTATGACTTTGATTTGACGTTCTAACAGAGAAACTGTCCCAAGCTAAAGAAGAGCAACTGAACATGACCCAGATGTTGGACCAGACTCTTATGGAGCTGAATAATCTGTGAAGCGGCCATGACAGTGTGACTCCTCCTCACTGATCCGCCTCCGCCCCACTCACTGCGCACACCAAGCATGAATCAATCACTTTTGTACGCCATTCGTGGTCATTGCGCCCCCTTCCACACACTGCTGCTGTACCTGTAGTCCTCGTTTTGGGGCAGGCGGTGAGTGTGTGAGCCGGTGCTAATATCCTACACAACGGTGACTGAAAATGCAAACCTAACGCGACGTGAAGGGCCCAAACGGTTTCCTTACATGGATTCAGTCAGCTGAGTTTGTTTTAAAATAATGTATGTTCATGTTTGTAGAGGTTTCTCATTTTTTGCTGTACAAATTATAAAAAGAAATAAAAAGCATGTTTTCAACGTTTACAATTGTTGTTTATTGGTTAAAGGTTTTATATTGCACAAAATTTACTCTGACTGATTTAAGACATAAAATTAAAGTAACCAGATGTCCCTTTTTACCTGGGACAGTCCTAGTTTTGAGCAGATTTATCCAAAACCATTGATTTGTCCAAGTTTTATACAAGAAATGTCCAAGTTGTCCCTATTTTTGACCAATTTGAGAGGCATAATTGTCATTTTTTAGGTAAAATACAGAAAAGCTGCATAAAAATGACCAAAACGCTAAGAAAATGTGACTATACTGACACATTTTAGTCATGAATGAGCTGAGTGCAGAAAAGTTTTGCTTAATTACACACTTGATTCACAATTTTATTCTTACAAACCACCACAAACCGGCTGAAATTATCCAAATGAGTAGATGTAGTTGGTGTACGTAGTTTAAAAACACAGTGGAGCGCTTTGTATATTACCACATGACATCTTTTAAACAAACTATGGCTTTACCTAATCAAAAAGTTTTAAAATCATATTCATTATATTATTATATATTATTCTTTAAATATGGGTTTAGTTCCTCGCAGTCTTGACGGACAATACATTAACACTGATAGTTTCTTTCAGTACATTTCATTTCAACCACAAATATTACTCAGTTACAAACATATATCTTAACTTTTATCCACAATTGAGTTTTCCTGTAGAACTCGGCAGTGTGCAGTGTTACAGCCTAAATGTGAGGGGCAGTCATGTGCAGTGAGGAGCCCATTGGAAAGAAGAAGACAAAACAAGACAAGATGTCCCTATTTTTGACCAGTGTGATCCCTGCCAACAGTAAAAAGAGGCATTAATTGTCATTTGTTTAGGTAAAACACAGAAAAGCTGCTGAAAAATGACCAAAACACAAAGAAAATGTGACTGTACTGACACATTTTAATCATTTTAGTCACTCGATTCACAATTTATTAATACCAACCACCACAAACCACCACACACCGGCTGAAATTATCCAAATGAGTAGATGTAGTTGGTGTACAGAGTTTAAAAACACAGTGGAGTGCTTTGTATATTACCACATGACATCTTTTAAAGTAACTATGGCTTTACCTAATTAAAATTTTTAAAAATCACATTCATTATATTATTATATATTATTCTTTAAAATTGGGTTTAGTTCCGCAGTTTTGAGGGCATCTGATTTAGTTGGTGAGATCTTCAAAAGCCAGGTATATACAGTATTATGTTTTTTATTTATGTGTTTATTTCATTCAAGTATAAAAAGACCAAAATACATAAACGTGTCGTAACATCAAGCATAAGAAATGAATGAAAAGGAGCAGAAAGAAGATAAATCTACAGACAATACATTAACACTGATATATTTTTTCAATACTTTACATTTCAACCAGAAATATTAATTAATTACAAACATATATCTTCACTTTTACGCACAACAACTTAGTTTTCCTGTAGAAATGGTCAGGGTGCAGTGTTACAGCCTAAACGCGAGGGGCAGTCGTGTGCATCCAGGAGCCCGCTGGAGTGAAGAAGACAAAACCCGGAAAATAACAAAAGAGTTGTGCGTTTCTTCGGAACAGTGGAGAAGTGAGTGTGTGAAGTGAGGAGAGCAGCCGTAGGATCATGGCCCTGCACATCCTCCACCAGTGCTCCCGGGGGTTCAGTCCTGCCCGGGTTTGTGTGCGCTTCTCCGGCCTCTCCGCGCGCGCACAGCCGCATCTGCAGCGCGTGCACAGGTTCATCCACCGCACGAGTCACGGCTCCGGAGAGTCCAGCTCCAGCTCCAGACTGTGGCTCTACGGGCTCTGTGGGCTCGGGCTCGGGGGCGCTGTCACCTTTGCAGTGGCTCTTAAGTCCCGCAGAGATTTAGCGGAGAGTCCCGGGGATTGTGAGCGGACAGATGCTGCAGGATACAGAGGAGCCGTGGAGACGAGCCGAGAGCTGCTGCAGCGGATCCAGGTCAGTGTGAGTCCGTCTGTTTGTTGTGATCACGTTATTATCTCAGGTTATTATCACTGAATGTGTTTCTCACGGTTGTGTGTGTGCAGGTGGAGGTGGGAGCTCCGGGGCTGGTGGTGGGAGTCTCTGTGGACGGTGTGCAGGTTTGGGCTGAAGGTTTGTGTCTCACATCTTAGGTTCATTTTCACTTTGGTGCTTCTTTATTTCCAGCTTTATAACTTCATGACCATAAACCACAGCAGTGACCCCAGCTCTGACCTCAGTGACACTCACAGGTGTCAAGTACAGGCTCGTGCCTGTGGTCCGGATCACAGACTACAGTCTGTGGTCAGGAAACTTTTGATTGGGGATCACAACTCTTTACGATGACATTCTGATCTTTTTTGATTATAGATTAAGACTTTATATCGCAGGGTCTCTGATTTTTTTTTTTTTTTCTCCTGTGATTTACAAAAATGCCAGAGCCACTTATTTTAGCTGTTGCAAGAAACAAAACATTTAGATGATTGTAGAACTTAAATCAATATCCATTTATTGGTGCATAAAGTTGGGCATCAAAATTATGCATTTACAATGTTAATTTGCATTTAATTCATACATTTATAGTTCAGCACAATATGTATAATTCAGAAATCCCTCAGGGAGCTTCTTGAGAGCTGCTGGGAGCTCCTGAGCTACAGGTTGGAGACCCCTGTTATAGCAGCTGTTATACACAGGGTATAGTATAATAATTATTACCTGCACTGCTTATTCCAGGAATTGGACTTGCAGACCTGGAGAACCACAGCTCTGACCTCAACCACAATCTCCGGGCTCACTACAACTTATTTATTTAGTTAGTTAGTTAATTAGTTTATTTGTGAGGCATTAACCTTAACAGGAGAGATGGATTGTGCCAGGTTGTAGCACTAGAGCGAATTTGCAACTGTTGTCCCTGGTGCATGTTTTTTAGATTAGGTTATGTATGGTCTGGAACACAGTGTGTGGTCAGGAAACTTTTAATTAGGGGGACACAACTTTTTACAATGAAATGCTGATCATTTTTTATTAGAGATTGCCATTATCCAAGTCATTATCCATTTATTAGTGCACAAAGTTGGGCATCAAAGTGATACATTTACCGTATTTTCCGCACTATTAGACGCGGTCTTAAGGCTCCAACCCCATCAAAAAATGACTGCGTGCCACACAATCCAGAGCGTCCTATACACGAATCCACTCAGGTGTCCCAGCACGACTTCAGTAAACTACAAAGCCGCACCACCAGCACCAGCACATGCAAACACACACGGAGCAGACAGCGACCGCGCGGCGAAAAACACCCACAGCCACACTCATCAGTCCACGCCGACAAGGAACGGAACAGAGGAACGAACCGAAAAAGCAAGTGCAATGTGCCACTTCTAGACACAACTGAACAACTGAGTCACTGCGAACACGCCGACAATCCAGTGGTCCCAGACAGCACCCTCCCTACACGCCACAACTGAACAAATCCCAGAGTCACCGTGAACGCAACAAAACAAACAAAACCACTGACCCATCCAACTGTTGTGCTTCGACTAAAGTCCAGTGCTGTTTATTTGTGAAAAAAGTTTGAAAATAGAACATTTAATGACAGTGTGCCTTATAATCCAGAGTGCCCTATCGTGTGGAAAATACGGTACTACTAAATACTATTTGCATTTAATTCATACATTTTTAGTTTTTCAGCACAATATGTATAATTCAGAAATCCCTAGGTGAGCAGGTGTTATAAACAGTATATTTGTATAATAATAACCTCCACTGTTTATTACTTCCTTTATTCCAGGAATTGGATTTGCAGACCTGGAGAACCGTGTGCCTTGTACACCTGACACTGTGATGCGCATCGCGAGTATCAGTAAACCTCTGACCTCTGCAGCTGTGGCGCGTTTGTGTGAAGAAGGAAAACTGAAGCTGGACGAACCTGTGCAGACGTACGTCCCCGAGTTCCCCAAGAAACAGTTTGAGGGTCAAGAGGTGAGAGGTCACGCTGGACCATAAATTGGGCTTTACTCGTTACTTCTTTAAAAAATAATCCCTTACTTAACATAGTTACCCTCATGGAATGTAACTATTTATGTTAATCATTACGGCTAAATATCGACACAAGACCGATAGTCGACAAGTACCGTAAGGGAAAGTTGAAAAGAACCCTCTCGCTGCACTTCTTCTGAGGTGGTGCGCCACGACCGGCTCTGGGTCGGCTAAGAAAGACTGAAAGAGGTGAAGTTGACACGACTCTCCGGGTGCGTGCTTCACAGCTCCTACCACGGTCACACTGGCGGGGCAAGAACCAGCCTGCGTACACAGAAAAATAACATTGCTCTGAATTGAAAAAGGAAAATTACATCCAACGTGTGTAACAAACGTGATTTTTACAGGTGACCATAACCTCACGGATGCTCCTGTCTCATCTGAGCGGGATTCGACACTACGAGAAGGACGCAAACAAGGTGAGAGAAGAACGAGAGAAAGCTAAGAACAAAATAAAACGAAAAGAAGACGAGAAGGAGGAGAAGAAGGAGAAGCAGGGGCAGAAGAAGCCGACGCAGAAGAAAAGCGAGTTTGAGCTGGAGGAGTATTACCTCAAAGATCACTACAACAGTGTCATCGAGGCACTGGACCTTTTCAAAGACGATCCTCTCATTTTCAAACCAGGTAAATGATGTTTCCCTTGTTCTATTTCATAATTTGAGGCTTAGGTAAAGTACAGAATGGCAGTGATGAGAGGATTGATACAGCAAATGCACTATATAACATACTTCAAACAAAAGCCTTATTAAAGTGCCTATGAGAGGTTGAACTAATTTTACTAAATCACAATTAACATCATTAGATTTAAGATTTTGCTAAAAAATAATAATAAATAAATTCCCTAGTTTGGCCATTTTTTATGTTTCATATTTTACTTCCAGGACGGAAATCATCACATCGCACTAGGGAATTCCATAACTTTTACCTATCAGGCCCAAACACCTCTAATGGGCACAGACATTATTATCCGACAATAAAAAAATTAAGAATACATCTTTATTTTGTGGAAATCATGTTACAGTTATCAGAAAAATTTGTTTCCTGTGTAAATTGCACCAAAATTTTGGACAGAACTCTCCCAGTGTGATGCCATCAGTGTTAAACTCTATGAAACAGAACTCGACTTCCTGTAATTTTCAACATATTTTTCAACTTTTCTTCACAAACTGCTTCTTGATTGGTGTAAAACTGTAATTTATATTTACAACAGACATTATCCCACCAGATTAAGTCGAAATTGGAGAATGCGTTTTTATATAATCTAGTTTTAATTGTCTAAAACTGTCCACAGGCACCACATTCCTGTACTCCACTCACGCCTTCACCCTGCTCAGCGCTGTGGTGGAGAGAGCCGCTGCAGTGCCCTTTCTCGACCACATGGGGGCGATGTTCCGTGAGATGGGCATGTTCCACACTGTGCCAGAGCTGAACGAAACCATCATCTACCACCGCTCCAGGTACGCCCACTTTACCCCTCTACACTGTACGTCTGTTCAGTTTTGCTTTTTTTACTTTCAACATTTGTGTTCAAGATAAACTCCCGAACACTGTCTCACTCCTGATTTTCTTTTACTGATGTGACATTTCGGTGAAAAATAATACATTTACAATTAGACCGCAGTATTATAAATGATTGGCCTTGCGCCGGTCTCTCTTGAATTAAAACACCTGGATAATCATTTGAAAAATCTAAAGATAATTATCAACATTAAAAAGTTAACAATTATGATTCATTATACAGACAAAAATTTTTTTTTTTAAGTAGCAAAAGCAAGCGGTGCATTGAAGAGTTTAACATGAACCTTCCTCATGACTCAGAAGAAGAGCGTATATATGAACTCTTCATTACAACACTTAAAACAAATCATAACATTACCATATTTCTCAGACTATGAGGCGCACTTAAAATCCTTTTAATTTTCTCAAAAATGGAGTGTACGCCTTATAATCCGGTGCGCCTTATGTATTAATCCTTGTTGTGTTTACTGACCTTGAACTGATTTTATGTGGTACACGGTGCTCAAAAATCTGTCAAAATGTTTTAGTACGACGCACTGCTTGGATTGTCAGAGCATTATGGCTACTTTAGTCATGAGCCTCATGGAATCTGACAGAAGCTGAACCGCATCAGCGCACAAGGAGTGAGCTGTTTTTTTTTTTTTTCAGAGGTAATACTTTATGTAAATGAGCCATATGGTTTTAAGTTTTGTTTCTGTAAAACGTAAACAAATGTATGCAAAACTGCATTAAACACATTATTACTACTATATTTGAGTCATCCTCGTAGGAAATAAAAATCCAAACTTAAATGATTCACCCACATTCACATTCGTAATACAGATTCACCAAGGATCAGTCTCAAGTGTCGTCCGTTTTGTTTCACTTAATGCCCCTTATAATCCGATGCGATTTATGTATGAAAATAGACGAGAGAATTCAACATTATTGATATTACATCTTACAATCCGGTGCACCTTTTAGTCCGAAAAATACGGTACATTAAACAACAATTCATCATTTAAGCCTTTAGGACTAAGAGTTTTTCAAGTGAGTAAAAATCCAACAGGCTTCACGTCTTTATAGTGCCCAATCATGGTCACCCCCTCCCCACTCTGCAGGGCAGGCTCCTGTTCTGTCCCACAAAAACGCAAAGACGACATATCACGTTCAAGTTGGTTAAAGTGAACAGCGACCGGAGAGTCAGGGTCTTGGCGTCTTATTGCAAATTTGTGCTCACTTATGCGGGCTTTGAGTTTTCGTGTGGTCTTTAGGCGAGACTGCACGGGCAGTGCAGCAGGTGAATTACATGAGTGGACGCACAAGTAATGACGTTCCTAATTAGGGCATCATGGGTATCATCAGAAGTCACTGATACGATACATACCTCGATACAGTGAGCTTTACATTTCAAATCGATTTGATTTGGTTCAATAAAAGATAAAAAGTTGCCAATTCGATACATATTTCGAGACATAAACCTTAATACGATACATGTCATGATATCGTGAACTTTTAGTTTGATACGATATATTTCAAATTGATTTGATACAGTTCAATTAAAAAATAAACTCTAAATCATGGATGGGATACTAAAAGTCTTTGTTAAATCACTTCTTGTGCAATGTTCATATGAAACACAAACATTTTAATCATCAAAACAGTGAAAATGTCAAATGTGACATATAAACGAGGTTTCTTCCCCTAAACAAGCAACAAAACTGAAGCTCTATAATAAAATAATTGAGTAAAATACACAAATATATCAATATTTCGATATGTTTGCACACTCCTACTCCTAATGGGGAAATTTTTCTGGTAGAAGGTTGACAAAAACGAGACGCCTTTGTGGTGTTACGACACTGAGCGTAACTACCACATCTATTATTATTATTAACATTACAAACGGGGGCAAGGAGAGTTTACCCGTTTGGTCCATCTCTGCCATGGGACATTTACATTTTTTGTACCTTTCCTAAAAAGATATAACTTTGTTTTTCAAATCTTTGGTGTAATCTTTGGAAATATAAGAACCAATGAGTGAATAATTTAATGTTTTGTCAATTACATGAACTTTAAAGCTCTGATATTATGCAAAACTGACTCAATCTTGTTAAAAAATTGACTCTATTATTATGATTATTAGTCTGTCTACATCTCTAAAGCTCAAAATGCTCTGTTCCACCTTTTCAAGTTGAACAGCTCATTTTTTTACATTCAGTTCAGTAGAGATTGGCAATTGCAGGGTTGAAATTATCCAAATGATGGTTTAGTTGGAATATGTAATAATTACGAAACTGAAACTCATTTAGAACAGAGGTTACATTCTTTATACCTTTTATATTTTTCCAGTCAACCACAACAGCCTCTGATAACAAACCTGCCATTAAACACTCCTGGAATGCCGTATCGTTACCTCAAATGGAATTCTGTTTTTCAGGTACTACCATCTGAACAAAAACGGCCGCGTGGTGAACTGCCCGTACGTGGACAACTCTTACAAATGGGCCGGAGGAGGCTTCCTGTCGACCGCCGGGGACCTGCTCCGGTTCGGAAATGCTCTTCTGTACAGTTATCAGATCACGCAGCTCAAGGACACGGAGGGGATGCTGCCCGGCTTTCTCAAACCGCACACCGCTCGGGAACTGTGGACCCCCGTGAAGAACACAGAAGTAAGCTGGGATAAAGACGGACAATACGCGCAGGCTTGGTTAGTTGTGGAGGAAGAGCAGAAGTACGGGCAGTGCAGGAAGCGCAGGCACTACGTCTCGCACACGGGGGGCGCTGTAGGGGCCAGCAGCGTGCTCTTGGTGTTACCTGCGGAGAGATTGGAGCAGTGCGAAGGGAAGAAGCAGCTGCCTCAAGGTGTGGTGGTCACTGTTATTATGAATATGCAGTCTGTGGGTTTGAACAGGACCGCACTGGCCATTGCGCACGAGTTTGACCGAGCCAGACTCCGACAGTGAACTCCTCAGTGACTGCGATTACATGCTCTTGAGTATCCCGGTTATCAGTCTTATCCCGTTTATGAGAGTATTCTGGATTTGGTGTTTACCTGCGCTCAGAGAAACCAGGATGCTCATGTCCGTGTGTTCGTGAGGAATCAGAGTATCCTGGATATTTACACTGTTTACTGTGGTAACTATGGCACAGATAGAAGGAGCTAAACATGGAAAAATTTTAGGTAATTTAAAGTTTTTTAACAAGTTTTTAATGACAAAAAAGAAGACATACATTCAAGTAAGAACATGTACCGTATTTTTCGGACTATAAATCACCCCAGAGTATAAGTCGCACCAGCCAAAAAATGCGCAATGAAGAAGAAAAAAAACACATAAGTCGCACTTTTTGGGGAAATGTATTTTCGAAAATCAGAGACCAGGAACCGACATTTCATCTTGAAAGGGAAGTTCTAGTAAAAACAATAGAATAGAGAACAACAGACTGAACAGGCGTTAATATGTTAATGTAACATATTAACAGTTCTTCAGATAATTATAGCATAAACAACAGAACATAATTTTTCCAAACTCTCCATCTCACTCCAAATCACTAAATCCACTGAATTCTTCATCCTCTGTGTTACTTCTGGGTGACCTCCGGAGGTAATTCAAAGATCCATGAGGTAAACAGAGCGCCGCTTCCTCTTCTGTGTAGCTGTCGTCAGACTCAGCATCAGTTCCAGTTAGAATTATTCCGGCCTTTTTGAATCCAGACAGGATGGTTTCGGTGTCACTGAAGTCCAGGCTTTGTCCATCCATCCAGTGACTTCAAGGAAAGTTTCATGGTGCATCCTCCCAGTTGCCATGAAGTTGTGTTCTTCATCCCTGCTTTCCTTCAGTCCCTCACAAGTTTCTCGCTCACTCCAAACTTTCTTTCTGCTGCTCGATTACCATTTTGGCTGAATATTTCACTATTTGCAGCGAGACAGTGACTTTTTCTGCAGGAGACATGCGCAGTATAGCCAAGTGACAGTGGTATAGGAGGAACAGGAGCAGCAGATACTCACACACAAGACTAGAGCTTCTCGCAGCTGGCAGTGTGAAAATTTCAATATATAAGTCGCAGGAAACACCCAAACCATGAAAAAAGTGTGACTCATAGTACGAAAAATGCGGTACTTACTTGAATAACAAAAAAGAAGACATACATTCAAGTACTTAGACTATTTCCTGACAACTATGACACAGATACGACGAGATGTTAAACATGTAGAAACTTAAGGTAATTTGAGGTTTTTTAACAAGTTTCTAATAATAAAAAAGAAGACATACATTCAAGGAAGAATATGAGACTGTAGAGCAGCACCAGTTTGGTTCAAGAGCAACACAAACCACCACAAAGATGAGCCTGGTGTTAAAATGTGACTGTTAGGGATGTAACAATAACCAAAATATCGTGATATTGTATCGTCAGAGTTCTCAAAATAATATCGTGGACCATCACAATATATTGAATTATGAGTCTCTTTGCTTAAATGAAGAGTTATGGTGCAGCAATAGCTCAAAAAACAGAGGAAACTACATAGACCATGATCCTTTGCTCCATTTCAATGCAGACCACAAGAAGAAATAACAATTCTAAGCACTTTTCTTTGGATTAAATCTTGTCAAGGCATTTTAAGAGGAAAAAGTAGTATATTAACAGGTTTACCTGTTTAGCCTCCACAAAATATCGCAATAAATATCGTACCGTGAGATGTATATTGTGAAAATATTGTACAGAGAGATTTGGATATTGTTACATCCCTAATCGTGAGTCTCCCCATCAAATATCGTACCTTGACGATATTGTATCGTGAGACTTGGATATCGTTACACCCCTAGTGGCTGTATTACACGGTAGATTGCTTTATTTTGTTTGTAAGTATAAAAAGTCGTGGTAGGAGTTTGAGTCGTTTTGGGAAAGTATCTGCTCCTATTTTTTTCTGTTTCTTGAGTTCGCACATGCTCAGTACAGCTCCAGTTTTGAGAAATCAGGATACTGCGTCTACAGGCCACAATATCCTGGAAACTCTCAGGAAAAACCCAGTTAGAGTATCTTGGTTTCTCATCACCGGGACACTGGCTCATCCAGGAGACTGAAATCAGGATACTGCGTTTACATGGACACACACAAAACCAGGATACTCCAAAAAACCGATCATAACCACGAGACAAAGCGCATGTAAACGCACTCAGGAGTGTGAGATTGGTGTCCGTTAAAGCCATCCGTACCACGCACATCCACATGTTCTTCCCTTGAATGGAGCTCCACGGTGACCGGAACTAAATTATCCATTCATTTTTTTCATAGACTTTCCAAAAAAAAAAAAAAAAGATGTATTAAGAGTTTGAAAGTTTGCTCTGTGGCAACTAAGAAGCACAAGACATAATGTTTTTATTCAAATCTGTTTCTGAAACTTTATAAACTGCCATGGTATTAAAACATTTCACAGAATCTTGTGTTTTAAAGGTGCATTGTGTAACTTTTTCTGGTGAGGGGTCTTGTTTCTATGGAGATGTCATTGCTCTGCCTGGAATGTTCCACAATAAGAGCTGTTTAAAGTCAATCTTACATTTATTCAATTACAAGTGGTTTTATAGCTCAAAAATATCTCGAAAAGCAACATTCTGACTGTGAGCGGGGTCGCCTCTCCACAGATCTGACCTGTAACTTGGTCTGGTTTGGTGTCTGTGATGATAGAAAGGTTTAATGCCATACTGTGAAACATTCCAGACAAAGTTTGTGTAACCCCTGAGTCGTTCAGGTAGGATCCATAGCAAAGGAGAAATTCTGTTCTGTCAACTGGAGAAAGTTACACAATGCATCTTTAAAACTTTAAAAACTCAGGGCTAGGGCTGGTCTCATTAAGAAGCTGCTGATACGATACATACCTCGATACAGTGCACTTTTGATACAGTACAATGCATTTCAAGTCGATTCGATACAGTTCAATAAAAAATAAAGGCTAAATCGTGGCTGTGATACTAGAAGTCTTCGTTAAACCATTTCTTGTGCAAAGTTCACATGAAACACAAACATTTTATTCATGAAAATGTCAAATGTGTCGCATAAACGAGTTTCCTTTCACTAAACATGCACCTAAACTGTAGCTGTAACAAAATAATTGACTAAAATATACCAAAAAATACTCTTAGAGATATATCGATGCATCAGCCCACAATATCAATACTGTATGATCACATTAAACATTACGATATTTCGATATTTCAGTGTTTTTGCTCACCCATACTCAGGGCGAATCAGGGAAATGGGAACTAATGAGCACAAGACTTAAAAATTTGTTTCTGATACTTATAAACTGCCAAGGTATTAAAACATTTCACGTAATATTTGCATTTTAATTTGCTTTTTGTACTTAAAACATTTGCGTTATGTATATTAGTTAGTATGTAGCTTGTTGGCTTCCGCTGTTAATATTTTAAATCTTGGAAAAGTCTGTGAAAAAAATGAATGGAAAATTTACTTCTGAAGAGCAGGCGGTCACTGTTGAGCTCCACACAGCGCATGGCCATAATCTTATTTTTATAACAAGATGGACTGTAAAATTGTGTTTTTAGTAATTATTGTAATGACTTTCTGTGCCATAAAACTCTAAGAAAATCTGATTTCTCATGGATTGCCAATTTTCAACTTTTTAATAAAATTATGTTTTTATTTGTCGTTTCTCTCTCTTTGTTTAAGTGAGAGTGTATTTAGTTAAGTATTAAAATAAAGGTATGCAGGTATTGATACTTTGAAGGAGATCGTCATTAACCTGGGGTGGTGACGCTAACTGGAGGCTCTGCTCTGTCTGAAACGCTGTGTTGTGGAAAAAATTATACATCTCTGGGGGCGGCAATAGCTCAGTTGGTAGAGCATTCGCCCACTGATCTGAAGGTTCGTGGTTCGAATCCAGCTCTCGTCACAGGTTGAGCGGTCAGATCCACTGACCCACAGGTTGGCTGGTGTGATTCCTGCTCCCACAGATGAATGCTGTCATTGTGTCCTTGGGCAAGACACTTAACCCACCTTGCCCACAGTGTCTGGTACACTGGTGTGTGAATGGGTGAGTGGTTTGAGTGCCTTGAAGGTGGAAAAGCGCTATAGAAAAATGTGACCATTTACCATCTCTTGAAGATAAATTAGCTTCTGGAATATAGACCAAGGTTTATTCTTGTTACAGCAGATATGGACAGACCAACAGCCTCTCTCCACCAGCAGGATGTCCACATCTTGCCCCATCCTCCAAGTATCTGCCCCAGTATCTGCCCCAGCGCATTTGAGCTCTGAGTATTTAAAAATATGAGAAATACAAGTTACATACTTGCAGCTGAGGACAGGTAAGACAGCAAAGTGCACCCTGAAGGAGGAGACCGTTGTATCTGATGAACCTTAACAGATGTTAATGACTGGTCTGGGTTTCAGGTAGAAATCACATTCATTTACACAAAAACAGAATGAGAGAAGGCTACGTCCACACGACATTGCTCCTGGATTTTTTTCTTTGCGGGCTGAAAGAAATTTACATTCATACACGTGCCGGATCAGTAAATATTCACGTCCACACAACAACGGACCATCTGTATGTGGCGCTGATAACAATAATGTTAATAATAATATTTAATAATGCAAATCTCATCACCATTAAACTTCATTTTAGATATATCCCAGAAATATAGCCATTTTGTTTTGCAAAACTACAATTTATCTTAAAATTCATATAAAAGGCAAAAATCAAAGCAATATTTGGTATTTTGGTTCAAAGACTTGAAAAGACTTGGACTTGACTTGGACTTATGGGCCAGTGACTCGAGACTCGACTCGGACTTCAGGTCAAAGACTTGAGACTTACTTGCAAAACAAAGACTTGGTCCCACCTCTGATGGTAGATGAAACTGTGTGAATTTCTACAAGTCAATCTCAAGTCCCTACAAGTCCCCTAATTCATGAGAAATTATATTTTATTCACATTGTGTGACCTTCAGTGCAATGAATGAATTGAAAATAAATGAAAAATAAACACATAAATAAATGCACATATACATGACATACATACATAAAATGGCAAATGTGTATAAATCGGACAATCGGACCTTTAATAGTTTCAAATGTGTAATTATAGTATTTTATTTATTTAATTTGTATTTTGTATTGTTACATTATTTATTTTGTTTTACCAAAAAAAAAAAAAAAAGTTAAACACAAGAACAAGTTAATATTGGTTGGTTGAGCAGGTTTTGAGTTTTGTGTGTGTGTGTATGTGTGTTTTGTTTTGTTTTGTTTTTTGTAATTCATTCCTTGAATATAAACAATCTAAAGTTCAGGTAAAAACTAAATTTTAACATAAATTTTGGTTAATAATTGAACTGAAACTTAAAATCCAAACATACGTGTGTGAGGAACCTGTCCTGGCGCGTCACAGTCCGACGGGGCGGATCATGTACAATTAACTGTCAAGGTGAGAGCTGCATTTTATTTTATGGGAGTGAAGAAGATAAAACCCGGAAGTTTTCAAAAGAGTTGTGCATTTCTTCAGAACAGTGGAGTAGTGAGTGTGTGAAGTGAGGAGAGCAGCCGTAGGACCATGGCCCTGCACATCCTCCACCAGTGCTCCCGGGGGTTCAGTCCTGCCCGGGTTTGTGTGCGCTTCTCCGGCCTCTCCGCGCGCGCACAGCCGCATCTGCAGCGCGTGCACAGGTTCATCCACCGCACGAGTCACGGCTCCGGAGAGTCCAGCTCCAGCTCCAGACTGTGGCTCTACGGGCTCTATGGGCTCGGGCTCGGGGGCGCTGTCACCTTTGCAGTGGCTCTTAAGTCCCGCAGAGATTTAGCGGAGAGTCCCGGGGATTGTGAGCGGACAGATGCTGCAGGATACAGAGGAGCCGTGGAGACGAGCCGAGAGCTGCTGCAGCGGATCCAGGTCAGTGTGAGTCCGTCTGTTTGTTACACTCTGCTCACCTTATTTCACTGGGCTCGACATTAACAGGTGTCCGCTCGCCCGGGGCAACTAAAAGTTTTGTACAGTGACACAAATCTACTCCCCGTTAATAAAAACTATTTATTTGGTTGAAAAACGAAGTGACGGGTTGTCTGCTCAGGTGGATGGACAAGTCCAGTGTTGTTGACTGCCTCCCAAAACGCCCACGGTGACAAGTGCTCACATACACGCGCGTAGTTACGCTGCCTCCTGCTCCGCAGTCTTTGCCCAGTCAGTCAAAAATGTTCTACAGTTCAGACCGCGCCACTTCACCCCTTTTTCTGTCTCTCATTCTACATCACATCTTCAGCAGCTTCATTACACTGAAAAAAAAAGGTAGCTGGATTTGCGTAAAAAAGTTATGGAAAGCGGTTGCACGCAATAAAATTATGTTTAGGCTTTGAAACTTATTTTGATCCCTTCTACGCATATTTTTCTCAGAACATGAACATCACTTTTTCATGTTGATGAAATCTGATCAAATCATGCTGAATATGCATATTTATCTTATGTTACCTTATCGTGAAATGTATAAGTATGTATAATTTAATTTAATTGATCTAATTCTGTACAATAATACAAAAACAGTCTTTAGTTTTCCACAGTTCTGTATTGTCTTAAACAGAATCAAACACACACAGAGCACAAGTACAGAGACACACAGTTTGGAGCTGGACAGTGTGAAGATTTATTCCAGTGAAGAAGCTCTGGTCTCTGTGGACACAGAATAACACATGATGATCACATTCTGATGATCTACTCTGTTGTACATGTTTAAATACATTTAAAGTACTTATTACTACAATAATGAACCAGAACAGAATCACAAGAACATTAGAACTGTATCTGCAGAAACAAAACTCACCATGTGCTGCTTTTCTTCCTCTAAACACAGTAACAGGGAGGGCATCTGGTATAAAGTCTCCTAGTGCCACATCACCCTGTAGAAACACGAAAACTGTTTCAATAGAAGTTCATTTTGAAAAATTTGTTTAAAATCATTTTAGTTGGTTTACTTACTTTGTTCATCTGTGGTCTGTGTTTTGTTGGTTCTCAAACATCTTCCTTTTTTCTGAAACATCAGCTGTAACATTCATGAACTTCCCCACAGCTACAGCTGTGCGCTAAATATCACTGTTTGTAGACGACTCTGGAACAAACACATTCAAATCTTAGTACAACTGTCACACTGTTGTAGATGGACAGTCAAATACAATTTGTTTCATGGAAACAGTTCTTACATTAAGTCTAATTTCAAATAAAACACCACAAACATGTTTTAACAATGACGACATTCTAGGCCAGAGAAACATATAAAATGTTTAAAAAGTCTTACCTCCAGATCAGCTCTGATAATCCTCCTGCTCCACACTGTGTGTCCTCTGCTCCTGGAACTGTTCTGTGTCCTGTCCATTTGAATTTTCCCTCCAAAAGTTTTGGTGAGGAGAATTCCAGAGGGAGGAGCCTCACCAGAAATTATAATAAAGTCATGTTTCCTCAACCTGATTAAAACATGCAGGTCTCACATCGGCCACAATCAAGTGACCTTTGTAAGATTTAAACATGCTTTACAGAGAATCATAAAAAAGTCATGTTATTGTTGTAAATTATTTATTTTTTTTTGCAATTTGAGCAACCCCTCTCGGACCATTTTTTCAGTGTACGCATCGGAACGAAGAGCGAACTCAGAGCTAAACCCTCCAACCCAACTCCTCCAACCCAACTCCACAGTGTCCCTGTCAGGAACAAATAAAATACATATTATTAAGTGGGAAATTGGCGATATATTTATTAGGCCTACTCAGTACAATCTCAGTCACGAGTTAAAATGCTTAGGTTATTATGACCTGGATGGAGGCGAATTATGGAGAACTTTACACACACTCGTTTGGATACATCTTTACGCGCACGCGCTCCACGCTGGAGATATTTACCAGTGAGGAGTGGGATTTTGGCGTTTTGGAGTTTTGGTTCATATTATCTGTTTGTCTTAAATTTGACGTGGACACTGCAGACTGTGACCTGATGTGGATTATTACGCACTGGAGACTGGCTGTTTTCAGGTGGATACAAGTTTCACGCTGCACGCTGTTTCTTCAGCTCTTCTGTTTTAAGAGTTGTAATAGACACACTGCTCTTTGTTTGGACACATGTAGAACGTGTTGAACTTGTTAAACATGAGCGCTGTTTGCGCATCACATTTGCATAGATCGCAGTCGTGGCGCTTGAGCACCTGCACTGCAGGAACCACAGTATTTCAGATGCTGTTTGCAGCTGTTCCCTGGAAAGTGCAAGAGCCTCGACTCTAAAACCAAATTTTCTGTGAACAGTGAAAAAGTCTAACAGCATTATTGTCACAATAGCCCTTCTATGACAGTAGCCAAGATGCTCTGTCATATTTATCTATAATCACATTAGTTCTAGTTTTTAAAAGTATGATAAAGATCGTGACACCTGCACATATGAGTCTGACAACCTGAGGCACGATGTGTTTGAACTCAGATCTCTGAGTGGACACATCTTTAAGAGAACTTCTTATGGCACTTAGCAGAAAACTGCTTCATAGTGAAGAAAGTGGGTCAGATTTTTACCTGGTGCCCGGAGGGTTGACCAGGTTTTGTCAAGTTCCTAACTGGAGTTACATTCTTTTACTACAGGTTTTACAGCGGTATTTACCAGCCTCTGCACATTTACCAAACGCACATCGTGACAAATACAGGCGCACTGTGCACTTTTAGTAGGCAAACTTCAACCACATGTCGCAGTAGTCCTTCTTTGTGCCAACAATGTCATATACATTTGGATTACTTTTTGCTTCGCATTTCGTGTTGCTTTTCTAATCTGCGCGTTGAGGAGGGAGCGCGTGTGCGCTGCACGTGGGAGGAGAGCACAAAAAGATAAAGAGCAGGATGTTTTAAAACTTTCACCTGCCCTGTGATACACGCGGGTGCACGAGGACACACGCTGTTGCGGACAAGGCGCGCGCGCAGTGGAGCGCACAGGCTTCAGAGAGACGCCCCCGCGCGCCCCCGCGCGCTCCGGTACAAGTTTATTGCCGACAGCAGTTGCTGTAATGAAATCGATCGCAAAGTGTCCAAACTCCAACTAAGGTGGTAGAGTCCGAGACGAGACCAAGACCGTAAAAACGGTCTGAGGTTCTACGACATGAGTTTGTGCATATATTTAAAAATATATAATTAACTGAGCACTGTTTTGTTTTTACGGGTAAGTAAAACATTATAATCACTTGCCCGGTCAAGTATTTGTACAAGTAAATGTAAATGCTTAATGTCGAGCCCTGTTCAGGTTATTATATCAAGTTATTATCACTGAATGTGCAGCTCACGTGTGCGTGTGCTTGTGCGCGTGTGTGTGCAGGCGGAGGTGGGCGCCCCGGGGCTCGTGGTGGGAGTCTCTGTGGACGGTGTACAGGTTTGGTCTGAAGGTTTGTGTCTCGCATCTCAGGTTCACGGTATAATCACACATAATCATTTTAGTGCTTCTTTATTCCAACTTTATAACTTCATGACCATAAACCACAGCAGTGACCCCAGCTCTGACCTCAGTGACACTCACAGGTGTCAAGTACAGGCTCGGACCTGTGGTCCGGATCACAGACTACAGTCTGTGGTCAGGAAATTTTGATTGGGGATCACAACTCTTTACGATGACATTCTGATCTTTTTTGATTATAGATTAAGACTTTATATCGCAGGGTCTCTGACTTTTTTTTTTTTTCCTGTGATCCACAAAAATACCAGAGAGCCACTTATTTTAGCTGTTGGAAGAAACAAAACATTTAGATGATTGTAGAACTTAAATCAATATCCATTTATTGGTGCATAAAGTTGGGCAACAAAATGATGCATTTACAATGTTAATTTGCATTTAATTCATACATTTATAGCTCAGGACAATATGTATAATTCAGAAATCCCTTAGTGAGCTCCCTGAGAGCTGCTGGGAGCTCCTGAGCTACAGGTTGGAGACTCCTGTTATAGCAGCTGTCATACACAGAGTATAGTATAATAATTATTACCTTCACTGTTTATTCCAGGAATTGGACTTGCAGACCTGGAGAACCGTGTGCCTTGCACACCTGACACTGTGATGCGCATCGCGAGCGTCAGTAAAGCTCTGACCGCCACAGCTGCGGCGCGTTTGTGTCAAGAAGGAAAACTGAAACTGGACGAGCCTGTGCAGAAGTACGTCCCCGAGTTCCCCAAGAAACAGTTTGAGGGGAAAGAGGTGAGAGATCAAAAATACTACTGGATAACTTGACACAGAGGAGGAAATTCTGCTTAGATCATACAAGTGATACTTGTATTTGTACTTGAACACTGGGGGTGTTCTACATGTGTGTGTACGGCCAAATGTTCATCAGTTGCCGTGGTAGCACAATGCACTCACTATTAGACACTGCCAAAAAAGTTTGAATATTGTCTGAAAACTCAAGAAAAATACAAAAGAGCACATTTTCAGGAGCATATGATCAAAACGAGCGTTTCATTTTCAAAAAAGTTTAAAAAGGCGACTTAGACTTTGACTTAGACAAACTTTAATGATCCACAAGTGAAATTACTGTGAGCGTGACTAACTGTAAAACTCTAACTGTAATGTTATGTGAGAGGGAAATGTTTAACAGCACAAATCAGCTCACATGTTACAGTTCAGATAAATCTAAATAAAGATCAGATTAAAGTCTAACAAAGCCTCAGACAGAACAGGGCCTACAGGTTTTTTTAGTAGTCGTCATTTTGCAACACTACAAAACAAAAAAAAAAAAACATGGATGACATCCCCATGGATCATGACCAAAAGAGTTCAGGCTGAAGTAAAAAAAAAAAAAAAAGTACCCATAATGTTTTTTAAAGATGCCAGTTTTTTGTTTTTTTTTTACAGTTAGCATCACATCTCCCGTGAATGTTGATGACTTCAGCCGCAAATTATCAATAGTCAGGAGTACATGATGGAGCTTCAGCGTACTGTGTAACAAACGTGATTTTTCCAGGTGACCATAACTCCACGGATGCTCATGTCTCACGTGAGCGGGATTCGACACTACGAGAAGGATGGGAAGAAAGTGAGACGGGAACTGGAGAAACCTCTGGAGGAGAGGACGAGCGAGTTTGAGCCGGAGTTTGACGAGTATTACCTCAAAGATCGCTACAACAGCGTCATCGATTCACTGAACTTTTTCAAAGACGACCCTCTCATTTTCAAACCAGGTAAATTATCGTTTTTCCCAACTTGTCAATCAGTCCCTTCATTAATATACTGCACTGATTAGAGTAACATCAGTAAAATACACAAGCGATGATGGTGGAAACATTCATGAAGTACTGTTGGACAATACACTCACCCACCTTTACTCATATGATTTAGCTTGAAATCGGTTGTGCTTAAATCCAAATCAGCTTTATTTCAGATCATAAAACGAAGACAAACAAAAAGATAAATTGCAAAAAATTGGTCACATCAGCCCTAAAACAATAAAAGCAAAACCATAAAAATCATAAAATAGCAGTAAATAAGTCAAGCAAATCAAGTAAAGTATAATAATATGTTAGAATTCTGCTAAAGACTCCAAGGAGGGAAAGTGCTAGTGCTTTGTTTGTGACTGCAATTATTCCCACATTTCAGGCTCTAATGAGGAACTTCATGTATAAATGTATGTGTAGGTTAAATGAATCAAGAAATGGAGTTATAACATGCTTGACTGATATTAAAGAAAGTGACACCCAATATTATTCTGGCGTCTGGAAATGCTGGAAGAGCCAGCTGTATGTATTTTAACTATATGGACCTTGTATCACTGTAGTTTTTTTTTTTTTTTATGTATGTATGTGTGTGTGTGCTGGTGGGTTGATATATGAATGTAGTGTATTGTGGGTGTGTGTCTATCTGTATACGGCTTGGACCCTGAGTCTGTAAATAAAGTTATATATATGGGTTCGGTCAAGTGGTAACGGAGGGAAACAGGGGCAGATTTTTTACATTCAAATGTCTCTTATTCAGAAACAAGAGGGACTATTGAAATAAGTAAAGTATCAGAATGTAGGAAAGAGTTACACTCCAACAGGGTAAAGTTAAACCTGTGATATTCTTTCAAGCTGTTGACAAAAAATTAAAAAACTCATGTCGGTAACGGAGGGAATGAAATATGCAGCACTTTTTGGGCAATAAATCCAAACAGTGATAACTCTTGGTTCTCACTTACATATCCTTAACAAACTGGTTTGAATATTTGCTTCATATAGTTTTCTACCATATGGTACAAGATTAGGTTGAAAAACCTCTTACTTTTTGACTCATGAGATTTTTTATTAAGAAAGGTCATGGTAACGGAGGGAAAAGTAACGGAGGGAAAATTGTACCAGCAAGTAGAAGGTGCATGATTTTACATAATTTGTCAACTTTTTTCTTCCGAATACTTTAATATTACTTCAAAATGAAAGGAAACTATTTCTATAAAATATGTCAGTCCTTCCAAGCAATTTTTTTTTTATCATTTTAAATACATTTTAAAAAAAAAAAATTCATGTACCTTCATCAACAGTTCAAAGATGGAATAACACAAGATATGATGAAATACATCCATTTATTTACATGATTTGCAGGTCTTTGAAATTTGGCAAATAATTTTTGTTCCATGTTTCATACATGGTCTGTTTAAAATGTATGTAACTTTAGAACCAAAAATGGTACAGAAAAAAGGTCAACAGTTTCATAAACTAGAGTACATATGTATCTGTTTAATAAATTTTTATATCAGACGCATTAACTTGAATTTTTGGCCTTGCTGTTTACTTCTGCTTGACCAGGCCCATATATAAGTAAAACAAGTAAATAAAATAAATAAAAGACACAGAGGACCACACAGCTCACGCGCTGTTAAAAGACAGAGAAGACAGAGGGTAAAAGTGGGTTTTAAAACGAGACTTAAAGGAACAGTTCGGAATTTTGGACATAAGACCTCATTTCCTCGTGATCCAGAGTGTTGGAGACGTGTGGAGACACTTTTTGAAATATTCCATCCAGTCCTTGTATTTGCAGAGGCTCTAAAACTTACCCGCTCCACAAAACACCTGAAAAAAATGTATTATTACGCCAGACTGTCCGTGTAAATGTCTGTGTCGAAAGAATCAGTTTAGAAGTAAAACCAACCTTGCATTTGAAGGATTTACGTCTGAGCAGCAGCACTGAGTTGTACTTCCTGACAGAAAGCAGCGGTGGACTGATATGACCCCACACCTGTCTTACCAGCTCTGTAATAGTTTGTTTACCTGTACCTTTGTTTACCAATTGAGAAGCTGTGGCATGACCTTAAAAATGCAGTTCATGCTCAGACACCCACATGTGGCCGATTTAAAACAATTCTGCAAAGAAGAGTGGGCCAAAATTCCTCTACAGCGACGTGAAAGACTCATTGCTCGTAATCACAAATGCGTGTCTGGAGTTGTTGCTGCTAAGCGTGGTTCAACCAGTTATTAGTTTTAGGGATCAATTAGGTTTAGGGAGCGCCCATGTAGGTTCAGATGGCTTTTTCTATGGAGTAAGAAAGCGTTCAGAAATATTCATGCGCATAGGATAAAAATCTGTGCATATTTGTCTGAAGTTGAGCATAAAATACATATTCATAAACTCTCGAATGAGTCCAGTCGTACATAAAATGTTTTGTGTGTATTTTATCCATCAGAATACAAATTGAAAAGTTACAACATTCAAGAATTACAATCACGAAATGAAAATGTACAATTATCCTTTTGTCAGTATGAATACGAACATCGTGTTTTAGTCCTGGTTCAGTCCTGGGATCAGTCCTGGTTTAGTCCCGATTTAGTCCTGGTTCAGTTCTGGGATGAGTCCTGGCTCAGTCCTGGTTCAGTCCTGGTTCAGTCCTGCTTCAGTCCTGGTTTAGTCCTGGTTCAGTCCTGGTTCAGTCCTGGTTTAGTCCTGGTTCAGTCCTGGTTTAGTCCTGCTTCAGTCCTGGTTCAGTCCTGGTTTAGTCCTGGTCAGTCCTGGTTCAGTCCTGGTTCAGTCCTGGTTAGTCCTTCAGTCCTGGTTCAGTCCTGGTTTAGTCCTGGTTCAGTTCTGGGATGAGTCCTGGTTCAGTCCTGGTTTAGTCCTGGGATCAGTCCTGGTTCAGTCCGTATGCGGTGCAAAAGTTCGTGATCTCAATCGATGTTTCTTCTGCTCGATAAATAACGCCTGTGAAGTGATGAAGTATTTTTGACAGTCGAGTCGTCATGTAAATTTGTATTCATACTGAAGAAAGAGTAAATTTTCATTTTGTGATTGTAATTCGTTCTAACTTTTCAATTCGTATTCTAATGGATAAAATACACACAACACATTTTGTGTTCGACTGGACTCATTTGAGAGTTTACGAATATTTATTTTATGCTCAACTACAGCCAAATATGCACAAATTTCTATCCTATGCACACAAATATTCTGAAAGCTTTCCACACAGCTGCCATAGTGACACATAGAGCTCAGGAAGAAACCTGTTCCAGTTACAGCCACATTCATATCATCACAACTCACGAGAGCAGAGTAAAATTCCGCTGCTGCTGAGAAAATAGTCCTTCAACGTGCGACGATTCATGCGATACAAGATTAGTTTTACTTATAAAATTATTCTATCGACACAGACATTCACATGGACAGTCTGGTGTAATAATAGATTTTCTTCGGGTGTTTTGTGGAGTGGGTAAGACTGTTTTTAGTGGCACCAGTGACCTCTGCAAATACAAGGACTGGATGGAATATTTTAAAAAGTGTCTGGGGGGATGTTCGGACGTGGGGGGGCAGAGCGTTCCAGAGTTTGGGGCCAACCACAGAGAGGGCCCTATCCTCCTGGTTTTAAGTCTCGTTTTAGCCCCAGTGAGCTGGAGCTGGACCTCGGACCTCAGAGCACGTGCGGGGGAGTAAATCTGGATGAGGTCCAAGACGTACTGTGGGGTCAGTCCATTCAAAGCTTTAAAAACAAACAATAAAATCTTAAACTCAGCTCTAAAACGAACTGAAAGCAAACGCAACAACGCTAAAATCGGGGTAATAGGGGTCGCGCAGCAGAATTTTGGATGACCTGTAGGTGAGAAAATGCATGGAGAAGAGGAGATAAAAAAGTGCGTGACCTGTTCAAATGAATTAAAAGATAAGAAAGGCTTAAATTCAGATAAAAGCCGCAAATGATAAAAGCCAGATTTTACAACCGCATTTACTACATATGATCCTTTGCTCCATTTCACCATAAAGAACTCTAAATGTAGACTATAAAGAACATTTCCATCTCGATTCTTTGGCATGTTAAGGGTTTTTAAAAGGAAAAAGTAGCATTTCTTCAATTCTGTTAGCATTTTCACAATATTGCAAAAATTATATATACCATGAGATTTGCATATCCTATGGAGTAAGAAAGGTTTCAGAAACATTCGTGTGCATAGGATAGAAATCTGTGCATATTTGTCTTTATTGAGCATAAAATAAATATTTGTAAACTCTCAAATCCAGAGTCCAGTTGTACATAAAATATGTTGTGTGTTTTATCCATCAGAATACGAATTGAAAAGTTACAACATCAAGATTTACAGTCACGAAATGAAAATTTACGCTTTCTTCGGTACGAATACAAATTCAGAGACGCAAATCGACTGTCAAAAATACATCATCACTTCACAGGAGTTATTTATCGAGCAGAAGAAACATCGACTGAGATCACAGGCATTTGCACCACATACGGACTGAACCAGGACTGAACCAGGACTAAAACACAATGTTTGTATTTGTTCTGAAGAAAGCGTAATTGTAAATTTTCATTTCGTGATTGTAATTCTTGATGTTGTAACTTTTCAATTTGTATTCTGATGGATAAAACACACAAAACACATTTCGTGTACGACTGGACTCATTCAAGAGTTTACGAATATTTATTTTATGCTCAACTACAGACAAATATGCAAAGATTTTCCAAATATGCATGGATTTCTTAGCCAGGCTGGCGCCACCGAGTGCCTCTGCTCAATTTCATTTCTCTCCAGTGACTAGGTCAGGAATCAAAATACACTAGACGGTTCACAAAAACCCCAGATGTGCAAGTTCGGGCACCAGCCAATCAGCGAAGAGTCATGTCAACAATTCCCAAGATCGAGGATTTAAAGCCGGAACAAAGAGAATTTTTGGTGAATTTCATCAAGGGGAAAGACGTTATTGTCCTTCTTCCTACGGGATTTGGGGAAAAGCTTAATATACCAGTTAACCCTGTTAGCAGCGCATTACATATGTCATGACCAAATAGCAGCGATTGGTCAAATGATAAAAAGTACCCGCCTACTGTCGACCAAACGAAATTTAAGGCTGCAAGGTCAGACGGTTTGTACAAAGTGAAACGAAGTAAAACCGGCTGATGATCAGGCTATGGATTTATGTCCTATGCACACGAATATTTCTGAAAGCTTTCTTACTCCATAATATCATTACATCCATATCCTACAAACTAATTCATTGTTTTAAAACTGGTCTAAAATGACTATCCATAGGCACCACGTACCTGTACTCCTCCCACGCCTTCATCCTGCTCAGTGCTGTGATGGAAAGAGCCGGTGCAGTGCCTTATCTGGACCAAATGGGGGCGATGTTTCGTGACTTGGGCATGTTCCACACTGTGCCAGACAAGAACGACCCCCTCATCTACCACCGCTCCAGGTACGCCCACTTTACCCCTCTAAATGTCTGTTCAGTATTCAACATTTGCATTTTTTTTACCGTACCGACAAAGTTATAACTACATTTTTTTAATCTTTGGTGTATTCACTGGAAATATAAGAATCTATGAATGAATAATTTAATGTTTTGGCAATTACATGAACTTTATAGGTCCTATATTATGCAAAATTTACTCTCAATATTGTTATCTCATGAAAAACAGACCTGGAGTTGTGTTTTGTTTCATTCACACATGTTGGAATATTTTTTTTATAAGTCTGTCTGTGCTCCCAAGCTCAAATTGTAAAAATAATCAAAATACTCACACCCATGATTGTTAGAATACTTTTTTATCCCACTGACTTCCATTCAAAATGGCATTATTTACTGGCATCACTTTGCCCGTATATTTTTATTCTCTGGTGTTGAAACCCCTTCAAATGTTATTTGAGGTTAAAATGATATGGGTGTGTTCACAATCCCTGCAAATACACAATCCCTGTAAATCCCATAGAACTCCAAAGGAAAACAACTCCAGCTGTGTTTGCATATGGGCCTACACAAGGTGTAATGGGGTGAGTTAGGTTTGAATTGTTAAAAAAATAAATAAATCACAAATTTAAAATTTTCTTAACAGGAGAAACCTGTAAAAATCCACAATTTATGATTGTCTAGTGTTATGTCATTGTCAGCGCAACCAAAAAATGTGCGGTTATAATGGAAGTCAATGGGCTTTTAGGGGAAAAGAGTGTTTTGTGCAAAAACTAAACAAACAAACAAAAAAAGCCAAAATCAATGTTGGCACTATTTTATGACACCCCCAGCCTCTGATAACCCCAACACAAACAAATTTAAATTAGTTGAAAAAAAGAAAAAAAAATAAATATATATATATATATATTTTGTATATCTTTCATGCACTTAATTTGATACTTTTTCTGTCAAAAATGTCATTTAAGAGGTTAAAATTTCAAAGTATTATATATTATTTGGTATATATGATTAGTGCAGAAGTAAATTAAGATAATATGGTGTTCTTTTCCAGCGTGCATTTTTATCACAAAGGACCACAGGTGTGATTATTTTAACGGGGTGCACGAGGGTTAATTAATTAGTTGGAAATGTAATAATTACGAAACTGAAACTCATTTACAACAGAGGTTATATTAATTATAGCGCTATATTTTTACGGTCAACCACAACAGCCTGTGATACCAAATCTCCCGTTAAACTCTGCTGGAATGCCGTGACGTCACCGATAATAGAATTCTGTTTTTCAGGTTCTACCATCTGAACAAAAAACGCCGAGTGGTGAACACCCCGTACGTGGACAACTCCTGCAAATGGGGCAGCGGCGGCTTCCTGTCGACCGCCGGGGACCTGCTTCGGTTTGGAAATGCTCTCCTGTACAGCTATCAGATTACGAAGCTCAAGGACACGGAGGGGATGCTGCCCGGCTTTCTCAAACCAAACACTGCTCGGGAACTGTGGACTCCCGTGACGAAGACGGAAGGAAGCTGGGATAAAGACGGACAGTACGCGCAGGGTTGGTTAGTTGTGGAGGAAGAGCAGAAGTACGGGCAGTGCAGGAAGCGCAGGCACTACGTCTCGCACACGGGGGCCGCTGTGGGGGCCAGCAGCGTGCTCTTGGTGTTACCTGCGGAGAAACTCGAGCAGAAGAAGCAGCTGCCTCAAGGTGTGGTGGTCTCTATTATTATGAATATGCAGTTTGTGTATTTATACGAGACTGCACAGGCTATTGCGCACGAGTTTGAACGAGCCAGACTCCAAAAGATGTGAGATTGGTTACTGCCTCCTTTCTGATTTCTTACTTTTTTGCATGTGCATATTAAACAAAGATAACCCAAATAAACATAAGATGCAGTTTCTCTGTGATGGTTTTATTTGTTAAGAGAAAAATACTACCCAAGCCTACATGATCCTGTGTGAAAAAGTAACGGTTAAATGATGAGGTATCTGTGATTAATCATATTATTGTCGAAAGCTGAGTTCGGTTTCAGTGCCACACCCAGACCTGATGCCGCCAGACGTTTCAAATCAAGAGATCACTTAAATAGAACCTGTCTGTCAAGGTGAAGTAGACCGTACTGTGAACCCAAGACATCATGCCGCGATCCAAACAAATTCAGGAGGAGATAAAACGTAATTGACATGTCTCAATTTGAAAAAGGTTTCAAAGTAGTTTCTAAATCTTTGGGACTCTATCCAACTACGGTGAGAGCCATGATCCACAACAGGAGAAGGCACGGGACAGCGGTGAACCTTCCCACGAACGGCCGAGCTACAAAAATTACCCCAAGAGCAGAGCGACGACTGATCCAAGAAGTCACAAAGGAACAACTGCAGGATTCACTCGCCTCAGTAAAGGTCAGTGTTTATGATTCAACCATTAGAAAGAGACGAGGCAAAAATGGCACGCACGGCAGAGTTCTAAGGCGGACGATACTGCTGACAAAAAGAACATAAAGGCTCGTCTAGTTTTTTGCCAAAAAGCATCTATGATCCCCTAACGTTTTGGGAAAATATTCTGTGGTACTGATGAAACAAATATCAAGCTTTTAGAAGGAGTGAATCCCGTTACATCTGTCATAAAATGAACACAGCATCTGATAAAAAGAACCTCATGCCAACCGTGAAATATAGTAGCAGTAGTGTCATGGTTTGTAGCTTTGTCGCTTCAGGATCTGGGCGATTTTCTGTAATTGAAGGAACCATGAACTCTGCTCTCTACCAACAAATCCTGAAGGAATGTCCAACCATCAGTTCATGACCTCAAACTGAAGCGCACTTGGACTCTGCAGCAGGACAATGATCCAAAGCACACAGGCAAGTCCACTTCTGAATGGCTTAAAAAAAACAAACGAGGGTTTTGGAGCAGCTTAGTCAAAGTCCAGACCTGAACTCAATTGAGAAGCTGTGGCACGACTTTAAAAATGCAGTTCATGCTCAGACACCCTCGTGTGGCCGATTTAAAACAATTCTGCAAAGAAGAGTGGGCCAGAATTCCTCTACAGCGACGTGAAAGAGTCATTGCTAATAATCACAAATGCTTGTCTGGAGTTGTTGCTGCTAAGCGTGGTTGAACCAGTTCTTAGGTTTAGGGAGCAATTAGGTTTAGGGAGCGCCCGTGTAGGTTCAGATGGCTTTTTCTATGGAGTTCAGAAATATTTGTGCACATAGGATAGAAATCCGTGCATATTTGGTTGTAGTGGATCATAAAATAAATATTCATAAACTCTCAAATCGTACATAAAATGTGTTGTGTGTGTTTTATCCATCAGAACACGAATTGAAAAGTTACAACATCAAGAATTACAATCACGAAATGAAAATTTACAATTACGCTTTCTTCAATATGAATACAAACATCGTGTTTTAGTCCTGGTTCAGTCCTGGTTCAGTCATGGGATCAGTCCTGGTTTAGTCCTGGTTCAGTCCTGGTTCAGTCCGTGTACGGTGATAAAGTGCGTGATCTCAATTGATATTTCTTCTGCTCAATAAATAATGCATGTGAAGTGATGATGTATTTTTGACAGTCGAGTCACATCTGTAAATTCAAGTTCATCCTGAAGAAAGCGTAATCGTAAATTCTCTTTTTTTTTTTGTGATTTAAATTCTTGATGTTGTAACTTTTCAGTTCGTATTCTGATGGATAAAATACACACAATACGTTTTATGTACGACTGGAGTCATTCGAGAGTTTACGAGTATTTATTTTATGCTCAACTACAGACAAATATGCACAGATTTCTATCCTATGCACACGAAAGTTTCTGAAAGCTTTCTTACGCCATATTTTCCCCCATAATAAATAAAATCAGCACATTCAATTCAAACATTTTGTGTTTACTTGTGAGTTATCTTTGTCTAATATTGAGAGTGATAAAGGTACAAAACAAGTAAGAAATCGGTAAGGTGAGACAGTACTGTACATGTGTTTTTCCCTTTAATGGAGCTTAACAGTGACCACCAATTCCCCTGATTCCAGAACTAAATTTCACATTCACTTTTACCATAGATTTTCCAAAAAAAAAGCATTAAGAGTCTGAAAGCTTGCTCAGTGGCAAGTAATGAGCACAAGACCTTTAGCTTTATTCAAATCCGTTTCTGAAACTTTATAAACTGGCAACATTTTCACTTTCATTGCTGTACCTGGAATGTTCCACAGTGTGACATTAAACAGCTCTACTTTACATTTATTCAGTTACAGGTGGTTTTATAGCTCAAAAATCAAGAGAAAAACAAGCGTTGTGACTGTGAGTAGGGTCACCTCTCCTTGGTCAGGTTTGATCTCCATGAAGATACAAAGGTTTAACGCCGTACTGTGAAACATTCCAGACAAAGTAATAACAAAAAAATTTGACAGACTCTCCTTAAAAAAGTTAGAACAGCACAATGCACCTTTTAAAACTTTGAAAACTCAGGGCTAATCAGGTAAGCGGGAACTAATGACCACGAGACGAGACATTTCATGGAATCTTGTGTTTTAAAAATGCTTTTTGGATTTAAAACAGCTGCATTATGAATATATGTTGGCCTCTGCAATGTTTTTGAAATCTTATAATACTTTTATAATATTTTAAATCTTTGAAAAGTCTGTGGAAAAAATGAATGGAAAATGTACTTGTGGAACTGGAGCAAGCGGTCACTGTTGAGCTCCACACAGAGTGTGGCCATAATATCTTTTTTATCTTTTATCTTATCTATTTTATAACCAGATGGAGTATAAAATGGTGTTTTTAGTATATATAACTGCCATAAAGCTATGACAAAATCCGATTTCTCATGGAGTGCCAATTTTCAACTTTTAAATAAAATTAATGTTTTTATTTTCATTGTTTCTCTTTGTTTACATGAGAGTATATTCAGTTTAGTATTAAAATATCGTATCGATACTTTACAGGAGATCATCATTAACATTCCTTGGGGTTGTAACACTAAGTGAAGCTCTGTTACTCAAGTTAGACTTTAATCTGAACTTTGTTTTAATACATTTTGAACTTAAAGACCTGACTTGCCTGGAGCAGATGAGCTGTGAGTTGTGCTGTTATAAATGTCTCTCACACATATACGTAATTACAGTCATGAGCTATTTAGCATTAGCCAACAGTTTTTTAGTCACTGTCAGCTTTTTGTTGAAAATCAAACTCCTAAACAGGACCATGAAGGCTCGGACTGATCACAGACTCCAGAATACGTGATGTTTAAATCTATTTTGTAATTTTTCTTGAGTTTTCAGATGATCTTAAAACTTTTATCAGTATGTTATTAGGTTCTTTTTGCAGACCTAGAGTTTTGTTTCATACCTGACAGTTTCGACTGCTCACTAGCGCTCTTCCTCAGAGGCAGGCCCCACCAGTAGGAAGACAGCGCCAAAACCTGTTTAAATCTGCTGACCAGACACGTCACAGCAACATCACGTGACCACTGTGAGGAAGTGTCAGACAGACAAACTGTCAGGTATGAAACAAAACTCTAGGTCTGCAAAAAGAACCTAATAACATAAAGTATCGGAAGACCAAATGAATCTCAGTGGACTATAACTTTTATCAGTGTTTGCTAATGTGCGGTATGTGTTACCATGAGGGGTGTAACGATATTATACTGTAATACTAAAACTATAATTAGTCTCACAATATGATAGGGTGGCCAAACGTCCATTTTTCCCCGGACATGTCAATTTTTTGCATTCTGTCCTGGGTGCCTGGGTTTTGTTTGTTTTTTTAAGTGATGCAAATGTCCGGGTTTTCATTTCCTTTCATTGGGGCCATTAAATTGAGCAGCTCTTGTAGCTCTCTGCACTCAGAAGGAGCAAGCAGACACAAACAATCAGTCAGTCTGCAACATGCCAAAGAGCAAATGCGTGTTTAACGATGACTTGTACAAGAAATTCCCCGGTTTCCGGCCCGGTCGAGACAAGTGGGAGGTCATGTGCACAGGTTGCGAGTTGAGAGTTGCTCAATGTCGAGGCCCCACCCCCCAGCCTTGGTAAGGTGTCCGGGTTTTCACAAACGGAAATATGGTCACCCTACAATACGACATTGTCACGGTATGAACCTCACGGGACGATATTTATTACGATATTGTGGGAAAGCTCATGATTAGAAATGTAACTATCGAAATCCCAATACTGTATACAATATTTTCATGATATACATCTCACGGTACGATATTTATTGTGATATTTTGTGGAGGCTAAACAGCTAAAACTGTTAATATGCTGCTTTTTCCTCTTAAAATGCCTTGACAAGACTCAATCCAAAGACTTAAAAGTGTTAGAACTGTTATTTCTTTTTGTAGTCTGCACTGAAATGGAGCAAAGGATCATGGTCTATGTAGTTCCCTCTGTCTTTTTTTTAAGCTATTGCAGCACCATAACTTTTAATTTAAGCAAAGAGACTTGTAATTCGATATATTGTGATGGTCCACGATATTATTGTGAGAATGATACAATATCATATTTCGTTTATTGTTACGTTCTTAATAAGTACTAAAAAAGGCTAAGAGAACTGTTATACTATGTACTTGAATATGTGTCGTAGCAAAGTAACGCGAGGAGGGCGTCACTTTGGAAATCTAAAATGTTTTAAATCAGACCTGTTCTGCCAAATGGACTTTTCAGAGCTTTTACAAATCTTATAGTTCTTTCGTTCTCATTTACCCTCTTGAAGTTGCCTTTGGAGTGATTCATGCATTAAAAAAAAAAGAAAAAAACATCTCTGAGTGACAGTAAATCTGTTGAAATGACGTTTACGGCAACGTCAGCTTCCATTGGGCCCCGCATTTTTCTAACACGGAAATCAGTGAACTTGTTTCTTTTATTAAGTCGTTTTAGATGAACATTGTGATATTGTGATGATACGATATTCTCACGATATCCATCTCACGGTACGATATTTATTGCGATATTTTGTGGAGGCAAAAAAATAATAATAATACAAAATTGTGAGTGTGCTACTTTTCTCTCGTCACCCAAAGATCCCAAAAAATTATGATTTAAAAGTGCTTCATAACATTTAATTTAATATTTCAGCTTGGACTGAAATGGAGCAAAGGATCATGGTCTATGTAGTTCTCTCTATCTTTTTTTTTAACTACTGCTGCACCATAACTCTTAATTTAAGCAAAGAGACTTATAATTCGATATATTGTGATGATCCATGATATTATTGTGAGAACTTTGACGATATGATATCACGATATTTCAGTTATTGTTACATCCCTAGTCACCATGGTAACACGATGAACAATCAGCCTATAGACATGCATGTAGAACACCCTCAACATGACGTCACTGCAAACACAGTATCAATTTAATGCATTATACTGACTATATAAGTTGTACCAAAGTGCCAGAGATATCCTTTCTAGTATTAATTAGTTTATACTTTTCGGTAGGGGACGTAACAATAACCGAAATATCGTGATATCGTATCGTCAAAGTTCCCACAATAATATCGTGGACCATCACAATATATCGAATGACAAGTCTCTTTGTTTAAATGAAGAGTTATGGTGCGTCAATAACTGAAAAAAGCCAGAGAGAACTACATAGACCATGATCCTTTGCTCCATTTAAGTGCAGACTACAAGAAGAAATAACAGTTCTAACACTTTTAAGTCTTAGTTCTTTGGATTAAGTCTTGTCAAGGCATTTCAAGAGGAAAAAGTCGCATATTACCAGTTTTGTCCACAAAACTTGCGCTATGCTTTTTTTTTTTTTTTTTTCACTTGCATTTGGGTCCGGTCAAGCGGTAACAGAGGGAAACAGGGGCAGATTTTTGACATTCAAATGTCTCTTATTCAGAAACTAGAGGGACTATTGAAATAAGTAAAGTATCAGAATGTAGGAAAGAGTTACACTCCAACAGGGTAAAGTTAAACCTGTGATATTCTTTCAAGTTGTTGATACAAAGTTAAAAAACTCATGTCGGTAACGGAGGGAATGAAATATGCAGCACTTTTTGGCCAATAAATACAAACAGTGATAACTCTTGGTTCTCACTTACATCTCCTTAACAAACTGGTTTGAATATTTGCTTCATATAGTTTTCTACCATATGGTACAAGATTAGGTTGAAAAACCTCTGACTTTTTGAGTAGTGAGATTTTTTATTAAGA